GGCGGGGGGGAGGACTCGAGCGTGCTGCTCTGGCTGGGACTGCGCGCGGCGTGGGCCGTCATTTCCGCGCGCGTGGGGAAATTCGTCTTGGCCTTGGCGCCGCGAAACTCACGCGCCGCGGCGTCGTAGGCACGCGCGGCCTCCTCGGCGGTGTCGAACGTGCCGAGCCAGACGCGCGTTTTCTTTCCCGGGTCGCGGATCTCGGCGGCGTAGCGTCCCCAGGGGCGCTTCCTGACGCCTCTGTAGCGGATCTCTTTGGGCAAATGGGCCGGGGCGGGCCCAGGCCCGGGCCCAATGGCGGCGGCGGATCTGCTGGTGTTGTTATCCCTGGGAGCCATGCGTTTGCGATTGCGAGACAAGAGAAAAAGTGAGAGAGAGTGGTGTGGTGTGGGCTTGGAAGATGGAGACAATGGGTTGGGTGTTGGAGGGTTTTTATAGCGCGAGAGAGCGGTGAGAGAGAGAAGAGTGTGTGCGTGCGCGTTAATAAAGCTACGCTCCTTTTGGGCGCTTGTTGCGTACTCTACGTAGATTCACTTGCATCAATATTCTGCTCACTACTCTCCTTGCTTCTTTCATGTGCCCTATAACACTTCCACAAATGTTTTCCCCATTTCACTCATCAATTTTTCATTTCTACATCTCCTTATTATTCTAAAGTTTCTTTTATGTAAATGTTTTGCTAAAATTATATATTATTGTAATAAAATAATTCTTTGCATTTTACTCCATGGTTGTATAAAAATGTTTTATATTGATTATATATGTAAATTTTACTATAACTACTGTTGAATGTGTCTTACATGTTCACTAATGTACTAAAAGTGGAAACTAATGTACCATATTCAACGGTTTGTAATAAAAAATTTCCTACAGTTAAGAATAATAATAAATAAATAAAAGCAAGTCATACACAGGCATTGTTCTGTTTTTTATTTTTTTCTAGGGAAAAAATTGTCCCAATTTTTCAAATTTAAATAGCTCTTGCAAAGAATTTTAATTGGACTCATAAAGAATAAATGAAAATCTAATAATGTAAATATAAGGTACAATATAAAGATACTAAAATAAGAAAAATGTTTTATATCTATTTTTTTATTTATAAAAATAATAATAATGATCGAACTTAAGTCTTTATCTATTCTAGTCTTTTCTCTCCAATTACTAAACCAACTTTAATGGTTATTTATCCTGTATATTTGATAAAATATCACAAGCAAAATATATATATAATTTATTATAATTTCTTAATATTAGTTGTCTTAATACAATTGTAACAATAATAACAATGATAGTAATATATAGTGATGATCATTGACGAACCTACATCATTGTGAGGATGAATAGATGCACCCTCACTTTAACTAAATTATTAGTATATATTTAAAAATATTATATTTTGCATCTCTAATTTTGTATATTAAACTCATTATTAATTATTTTTAACATTTATATTTTATTATGTGTATATATTATGGTGATGATTATTAGTTTTTTATTTTTTTAAAAAATTGTCTAAACTAATCTAGAATCTTGAATCCGTTACCCGTAACTAACAATGATCATATTGATAATATAGTAATAGTATTAATGGTGATACTTGTGTAGTAACATGTATATATTTATTAAATGAAAAATAAGTATGAGGATTTTTGCTTTTAAGAATATGATGTACTTAAGATGACATTATCATATAATTTATTAAAAAGAAAAATTTTGTTTTTGTTTTATCCATCTTTTCTTGAGTTGTATTGTCAGATGATATTTTCTTATAATTATATTTATTTTGTATAGCATAATGTTATTTTAGCAAATCAAATGAATTCATAAGATGTTATTTTACTTTTTCCCAAGCCAAATACTTTAAGCTCATTTAGGCCTAAATAAACCAATTTAAGATAATGAATTTTACATGCTAGTGTCCAAGAAAATCCAATACACATTTTATGGACAACCTAAAACAATCTTACTCGGGCGTTAAAAGTAATAAAACTGTGAAGTATCATGATATAGTTAGAAACCGATAGTAACGAATACTTGAAAATTGCAAAGAAAATATATTAGCAAACACAAACGACATTTTTACTAATTTTTAAAAAAGAACATTGACTAAAACCATCAAAAAAATTTATAAATAATTACATTTACTCGTGCTTTAAAAGTAATACAAATGTGAAGTATTGTGATATAGTTAGAAACTGATAGTAACATATACTTAAAAATACTTAAAATTTTTAAAGAAATTATATAAGTACACAAATGAGATTATTACTAATATTTTTTTAAAAAAAATTAACATAATAAAAAAATGTTAAAGGTAATCACATCAAAATTTGATTCACAAATTTTTCATTTGTCTCAATAATTGAATAATTCAAATATTTGAAGTTGGAATGTGCATAACACTTATGTTTGGATGATAGGTTTTCGAAGGTGTGATTAGTGAAGAAAGAAAAGAAAACCAAAAGTTATTTAATTTTGTGTTTGGAACTTGCAAGTTATAAAACGGATCAATCCATTTAAATTGGGTGGGGATAGTTGACCACCAAAGAAATGGGACAGAGCATATTGGTCCATCAAAAAATAAGTTGAAAAATGTAACTCACTCTACTTAATGGTGAATAAGGACGAGAATAGGTTAGGTCAAATTAAATTTGAATATATACACTGAATTTGTTTTATAAAATCAAAATATAAGTCTAGTTTATTATCTATTAGAAGTTTTTTTTATAGGTTTGATATAATCCTTTTAAAGTCTAATCTGACCTATTAACCTATGTAAAAATTAATTTAATATTAATTAAGTCAATAAACTTATTTTTTTAAAAGTTTACAAATTTATTTTCAAATACGTCGATGTGAGTTTTTTTTTTTCATGATAAAATATAGTTTATTCAATATTACTAAAATTTAAATTTAGGAATATATACAATGTCACAAAGAAGGAAAAAAGTGAATCGTTTTTTGTTAGAGACAATTCATGTGTAGTTATGTATATTGGCATACACTCATGGACAAACTATAAGCCTATAAATCTATAATGAAAAAGGATAATTGTATTGAAATTTTTTTAAAAATATTTTTTATATCTAATTTGGTATATTCTAAATAACATACGCATATTTTAACAAAATAAAATAGTTATGATAACACTTTAAAAACTAAAAAAAAATGGTACATATACAATGTCACGAAGAGCCAATAGATGAAATTATTTTCTATGTACACTTCCTTTGGATCACCCCAAGACACACATTGCGTTAGAGTCCTAGCTTGACAACGAAAGCTACTCCTTTCCCTGAATCCCACCGAGATGACTCAGCAAAAAACGTGACGGTCATTCTTTTACTAACACCATAGTCGACACACCACTTCCCAAAGGGAGGAAGCACCGTGTCATGAAGACATATGACAACTCAACCTACTCTAACAAACACTTGACTGCATACAAAAAACGAATGCACCTCTACGTCCAAAATGATGCAATCATGTGTAAAATTTTTCCCACAAAGCTTGCAGGTTTTGCAGTCTTATGATATACATGTCTATCAAAGTTTAGTGTGCCCAACTAGTCACCCTAACAAGTTTATTCAGAGCTCGATTCACAACCAATCGACCTCACAAGACTTCCACACCAATGTTGCTCAACATAAGGCAAGATGACAACGAACCTCTTTGTGCTTTCATGGAGAGGTTCTCTACTATTGCTAGTAAGATACAAGACCTTTAACCTCAAATTACCCTTACTACCATCCTAAATGCTTTAAAAAAAAGGACCTTTCTTGAATGACCTTTATCGACTACACCCAAGGACATGAACGATCTACGAACTTACATTGCCATTTTCATTAAGAAGGAATAAGACGAAGCAAGTCAATGCAAAAATTGGTCCTTGATCGGCATTCAAAGCAAATTCCCCAAGTTAGACAAGCTATGCCCCCACAACGACAACAAATGCAAAAGTGGAAAACCCCCTAAACCACCAAGGTATAATAACCACACACCCTTTATTGCTCCCACACAAATATATTTAAGGAAACCTTTAGTACAAAAATACTTACCCTACCTAAACTCGAGCAACCTCATAAGGACTTCGACTATAGCAAACATTGTTAATACTGCAAAACCATTGGACATACCATTGAAGAATGTTGGACACTCCACAACGAAATCAAAGAACTCATCCAAGCAAGTCACCTCAAGCAGTTCGTCCAAAGAAGCAGTCGCTGAGGATCACCCTCGGGGACAAGCACGAAGTCTAGGAAGGGATAATGAAATTGAAAAGATAGGCGCAATCGCAGCCCCCTGAGATAGGATGTCAATGCTTCAAATAACAAGGAAGGTAAATTAAAAGGTGTCATGCACACCACTATTGGCATATTTGATGGCGATGATCCCACCAACTCTTCTTACAAAAGGCACTTAAGAATTATTCAACTCTGGTTACTTTTATTGACATTGATTTCCTAGGCATGGATTCGAATCAAGACAATCCCATGGTCATCTTTGTCCAAATCGCCAATTGGAAAGTGAAGAAAACCCTCATGGATCAAGGCAATTTAGTCGACATCCTATATTGGAACACCTTTCTCCAAATGCAATTTCCTGGCAACAGTATCAAGCCATACAATGAACCCCTGCTAGGATTTGCAGGTGAATAAGTCAACATGCACAGCTACATAAAACTCCTAACAAAGTTTGGCAACGACAAATGCACCACGGCACTAAATGTGAAATATTTTTCGGTGGATGCAACAACCTCCTACAACATCAAACTAGGGCATAAACACTTATAGATTCATATCAAAGAAAGATTTATAGATCAAGGTCACAATTATAATGCCATAACATGTTTGGAATTCAAAGGGATGTCATATACACATTACAATCAAAAAAATGGATTTGAATTTAATCCCTCACGCATTCAAACACATACAATGGGATTGAGGGTCAATCTCTCTACCCAACAAATAACACACATCCAAAGTGAGGTTCTCACTCCCCTTTACCTTGATGGATGTTAAACTCTTGGTTTGGATCTTCAAGGTTTTCTTCCGTTGCCCTTAATTCTCCCTCCTTTTCAAATAAGGAGATGTGTGTTAATAAGTGTGGCAACCTTAGCCTTACTAATGTATTTATAGAAATGTCAACCCTATCTTATACATAAAATATCAGTAAAAGCTCAATTTAATTATTTCTCACTATTTTAAAATAAATAACTTAATTATCAATAACAACTAATTCAAAAAATATTATTTTTAACCATTACTCTTATTTTCAAAATGTTCTCAATTAATAAAATTAAAATATCCTTAATAATATATTAAGAAAATTTGGGATGTTACACTTTGCCTTTGTTTTCACTCAATTATCCTGATAAGTAGTCCACAACCTTTTCAACCCTAATGAAGATGGGTTATACCATCA